CCGGGCACTTGAATCCAAGGTCCTCAAAGTACTGCTTGGCTTCGTTTGCAGGTCCCTGATAGATACATCGACCTGCATCGATAACCATGACTTTGTCCATGACCTCGTAGATCTGTTCACCAGCTTGGTAAAGGGTCACTAGCGTAGTTCGATTGCTGATATCGGTCATGATACGCAGCGATTTGGCGTAGTCGAGCGCGGTACTAGCGTCAAGACCGCGAGTACTGTTATCCCAGCAATTGACCGAACTCTTGGTGGCGAGAGTCTCGGCAATAGAGACGCGCTTGCGTTCACCTCCACTGACACCACGGACGTATTCATCTCCGACTTTAGTATACTTCGTGTGGGATATACCAAAGACCTTTAGGAGGGCTTCAAGGATGATGGGAATCTGTAGTATACAACGTCAGTATCTGTCCCGCATAGAACTTTGCATACTTGACACTGACCTCGTGCTTCTCGTTCTTCTTGGTCTTGTTGGTGAGAGCAAATTTGAGCGTTTGCCACACGTTGAGATCGGCCATGTGGGAATCGTCTTCGGGGTTGTAGTTGACTTCGCCACGGAACTGCTTCTTTTGCTTGCCGGCTGGGATACCTCCATAGGACACATCGCCTTCCACAGCGGCGTAGGATTCGCGATTGTTGGATATGGCTTTCAGGAGTGTCGAACATCCGGATCCGGGTCTGATACACTCGGTCAGCACTCGCCGAGCATATTGTTTGGAATACTGCTTACCGTCCCAAAACAAGCATCATCTCACCGTCTTTGACTACACCCGAGAAGTCATGGATGAGTGTCCTCATCTGTTTGTGTCTGCCAAGCTTCAACGCAGGTACAAAGCCCGTAACGATTTTGTAAAGGTCAGGCCCAAATGTTCCCAGTATCGCATCGGGCAGCGTCCTTGCGAACGAAGCGGTCGATCCTACACCCTTGACGGTAAGGTTCTTGTAGATGACACCGACTTTCTTGACTGATTGACCGTCCTTGCGCTTCTCGAAATGGCCCTCGCGCATGAATTCATCGAGTTCGAAGTCGTCTTCTTTCTCTGCCGGAGCGGCAGCGGCACCAATATCTCCCGGCTCATCATCTTCTGCGTCGCCTGTACCCTCCTCTGCGCGTGTAATTGATCCCCGAGGGTGACTCTGACTCTGACGGCCGCTGACCCTGCTCACGGTCCTGGAAAGCGGGTTTGATCGTTGCGATTGCGCGCCCCGGGAACGCGAATTTGAAAGAGACGCGAGTTCGCCTCGCAGAACCTCGAGATCCTCTGCTGCAGCCCGTGTGTCCAGTTTCCCTGCGTCTCTCTCACCCCAGGTACCAGCACGCTTCAGGCCCTCGCGATCTGAGCTATCTTCTTCACTCTGGTTGTCCGGTGTTACCACCTCTTCCCTTCCATCACGAAGATAGTCGTCCTCATGCCATGGGTTGCGATGATTGTCTCGATCGGGTGGGATTGCGGATCCCCACATGTTGCAAATGAAAGTTTAGGGTATCAAACAGGTGTACTGGAAGAAAAACAGGGCAGAAAAAGAGTCTGAAGAGCAACAACAGCAGGAGACAGGATGTTTATCGTACAAGTACTGCTCAATTGATTTTTACTAAGCGGTCACCGGTAGAGCCAGGAGAATACTGGGGGTGCTTTTGCCAACGGGGATACCAGGCCAAAATTTAGAGTTGACAAACCGCTTGGGCAGGAGACAACGGAGATAAAGCACAACCATGTCGTCATCTTTGAGATTTGATGAATGATTGACGTGCCTTGCCGAGAAGCTAGACTAAGCTAAACTTGCGAAGCGCATCCACCCAGCTCGCGATGCCAAATATGGCCGAAACGGGTGGGCATCCAACACTTTTTTTTCGCATTACCAATCATTCCTTCCGCAGAAGATCTCATTCGCTTTACCCACTTGGGCAGATGTCCCTGCATATCGAGTCCACAGCACGAGTCGCAGCTCACTCGTGTAAGGTGGACTTTTGTGCATACCTGACACGCGTGTGTAGGTTGCAAGCAGGCGGCCTGTTTTCACAATCGGTGATCGCTAGTTTCCCATGTTCGTCTGTGATGCAGTCTGCATTGACGTCGAGTTCCGCGGAGCTAAGACCCTCCCTGATGTCGATCCCGCCAAGGCTTGTAAAGTCCGATGCTGTTCGGAGGTACATATGTCAGTCGGTTGCATTACGAGCGCGGCCGGGTGCATTGCCGTGTCGCTTATATGGTCTGCTTAGAAAATGTATATATGCTTGCAGCGTACGCAACTCCTCGAAAGGTTGTACATAGGCTTACAGAGTACATATGCGCTTAGAAATGCATACAAGGATATGTAGAGTTTAGAGAGCCATAACGATCCGCGTACCCACCACCCGTCCATTCCCCGCCTACATTGTAGTACAGTTGTACGAAAGCAATGATTACGAATTCACGTATGCTTAGAAATAGACGAACGGCTGACCATTCTGTGGAGATCAATAGCGTTCGGATAACTGCTTTTTATGATTATCGTCATAGGATCTCATCAGGAATGTGATAAGAACCCCAGGAAGTGTCCAATAGGAATCAATTCTATCTAAAGGGGTATCCGCTTTCGGTTGAACATGAAGTACTCCGCTCTACAGTCTTGTACCGTTGTGTATAAGAATCCTAGAGTTTTGGTTCTTCTAGTCATGGCTTCTTCTCAATAAGCTGGGGAATGTCTTCGGGCTTGTTCTTGCCTTCCAGAATGTTGTAGACAGCGGTAAAGAGCGGGAAGTCGGCCTCCATTCCCTCTGCCTTCAAGAACTCGTTGACCTCGTAGGCAGTGCTGGTACCCTGGAGCTTCTGGCCATTGAGCTCAGACTGCTCGATCTCATAGATGGTTTTGCCTCGGGCGACAGACATCTTTGCACAGCGGAAGTTGCGACCACCCGAGCACGAAGTGATGACGTCGGCGACACCACAGCTTTCTTCAGTAAAGGTGCTTGTGCGAGCACTGTCCCCGAAGAAAGCCTTGCCGAACTTGACCATCTCCAAGATGCCAACACGCATTACAGCTGCCTTGGCGTTGTCTCCCCAGCCCAGACCATCCACAAAGCCTGCTGCAAGCGCGATGATGTTCTTCAGCGCTCCGCCCAGTGAGACACCAGCGACGTCGTTGACGATATGTACATGAAAGTAGGGACGGTGGAAGAGCCTCCGGACGTTCTCGTGCGACAGAGGTGGGTACTCGTTGGGAAGAGCAGTCAAATGCGCTGAGCGCTTGCTGGGTTTCTTTTTGCTCGGATCGATAAGGTCCACGTGAGCAGTAAGATCAGTCTGTGAAGCATTGGGCGAACCGCTGGGGGTAGGGTTGCGCGAGTCCATCGGTGGCGGATCATATGCTACAGTCGTCTCCGAGTACTTCTCTTGAGCGATCTCAGAAGCAATGTTCGCTCCTGATAAAGCACCACAGTAGATGTTGAGAGTCATGCCAATTGTCTCTGACATGAGCCTGATGCCCTTCTCACTGACGTCCACACCCTTTGTGCAGCAGATAGCTCGTGCGTAAGGGAGAATCTTGCCGACCAGCTGCTGGCTCGACCGCGCAATGAATTGATGCGGGAGTACGAAGATGAGCATCGTAGAGTCTTTGCAGGAATCAGGTAGGTCGGGGTTGGCGACCACATTCGAAGGAAGCGTGATGTTCGGAAGGTATTTGACGTTTTCGTGAACCCTGTTGATGAGTTGCGACAGCTTCTCAGGCTTGTCTGAGCCGCTGTAGTGAGGCGAATCTTTCGGGATGGTGTATTCCTCCTCAAACACCCACATCTGCACAGTCTCCTCAAACAGGGATGGGTTCTCCTTCACGTTCTCGGCGACTAGTTTGGCCATTGTGGTGCCCCTGTACCAGTCAGCTCTTGATCTCAGCAGCCGTCCATAGCCCCATCTTCTCCAACGAGCTGGTGCAGCCACCTACCAGTTGCCGGAGCCAACTATGGTCACCTTGTGCTTGCGTCCAGCACTGAGAGTCGCCATTGTCATTGATGTGTGTCTTGTTCTTTGCAGGTTCGTAATGTACGGTGTGTTGATGGGTACTGCAACTCGCTTGCGCAGATTTTGGAGTAGGCGATACGGAGTGACGTATTGCGTAGGGGGGTGTGACACGAGCGCAAGAAACCTTGAGACCGCCACTTTTTATATGTTTATGATGTCTGGATGCGGTCAGTAAAAGTCCCCATTTGCTCGGGCTGCGACTTTCACACCTGCTGTCTCGGTAAGCGCAGGGTCCGCGTGGCCTCGGCTCTGCTGTCGATTGTGAGCTTGTGATGCGGCGATGCCGAAAACGGGTTTCAGCTGGCAAGTGGACTGTTGGCGGTGAGGGCGTGTTCAAGTATCGAGCAAAAAGCGGTTCCGATGGTAAACTTTGATCGGGAGCACCCAAAATGTTGGATCTAGGAACGATTTCGGAGACATGCGTCAGAGACATGGGTTAGCTGCAGAGCGCCTATCATCCAGCCGGCTGATCATGCCCCCGGCATCGACCAATGGCATCGCGGTTGCCAGCACTACAGCTCATGGAACCGTGGTACATCTCGAGTCCCTGCGCAAACAGCTGGCAGGTGCTCTCTGCGGGGAAAACGCGATGCTTTTACAGTTAGGTACATAGTAAGGCTTCTCAAGTGATAGAATACGCAGATGATACTGGAGATGTGCGTACGGCGCATCACATGAATAGTATGAGAGTTCAAGCTTCACAACACACAGGCAAAACATGGTAGTCGCGGTATTGGTAGTATTGGGTATTACAAGTCGTGTGTCCTTTCATAACATCGCATTAAGTATCCTCCTAAACTCCCCTCGTCTCCCTTGAAGCCGCCATGAACAAGTAGATAGCAGTGAAAGCAATGACTCCAACGTCGAAGCGCTGATGACGCTACGCCGTGATGACTGACACGTGGTACAGCCTTGCTAGCATCCGTGACACAAATCCATCCTCATTACCGTCCAACTGGGACCGGCCCGCAATCCATCTACAGTATTGCTAACTTACAAGGCGAAGCCGAAAAGCGCGAAGAGGCCACCAGCGAGGGCAGGGGTGCCGTAGATAGCGTTGCGGACGGCAGCACCCTCAGTGGGGGTAGAGGAGGCACCGCTAGCTGAAGCAGTTTCTGTGCTATCTGAAGAAGAGCCGCTGCTGGTGGCCGAGGGGCTGCTGCCAGAGGATGAAGCGCCGGCGTTGCCGGCATCGGTGGCGTCCGAGGTCGTCAAGGTACCGCACTCGTTGTCACGGGCCTGCTCGCACTGGAACTGTGCAGCAGCATCGGAACCGGTAGCAGCGATACATTGAATGTACCAGTAGCTGCACATTTGACCGTCGACCGACTGCTCGTACTTCTTCATGGAGTCGCTAACGTTAGTACCGTTTCTGCACTCGCAGCTGAAGTCAAGCGTTTGCTGCCAGCACGTTAGTGGGTGTCATTGCGTGCAAGATGAATGTGCTCACCGAATCGCACTCGTTACCGTTGCTGGCAATCTGTCCCTGGCCACCGCAGAGTTCGACGCAAGTGTTTTGGTTGGCATTGCACCACGTCTGCTTGTCATCCAAGGGCACAGAGCCCGGGTCGACACTGCAGCACGGGATGGGGGTATTGTAGTTGCCCGTGGCGTTTTGCGCAGAGGCAAAGCCGGCGAGAGCCGAGGCGGCGACGAGGATGGAAGAGTAGAGCATTGTTGTTGATGCGGGCAGAGAATATCAATGCCTACGAGGAGCAGAGTTAGCGGGAGATCGGCAGTGGTGGTGGAGAAGGCAAGCGACAGGGCGTGGGATGAGAGGTGAAGGGACAATGGGCGCAATATAAGCCGCTTTGCTTGCGTCGCATAGGATGTGGGACTTACAGCGTGATTTAATGCTGGTTTGGTGGAACGGATAGAAGAGGCGGGTGTTGCTGGGGAGGGCAGGAATATATGCTCGAGCGCACGGGCTAGAGCAACAACGCTAGCCGGCCGTGCTTGCCTCTAGCAGCTAGGGCAACTGGATTGGAGATACGCTCAGACGCGACCGAAAGTCTACCTGGGCGACTTATTCGATGCCGCCCGCTTGGAAATTGCTCAATTTGCATCTCTATCGCGACAAGGCCGACGTGCCGGGCGCTGACATGAGGTCGGGCGCGACACTGCGAACGGCCATCGTCACTCTAGCCGCGGTGTTGTTTCAGACGACGCCAGACGCAAAACTTGCCACGCTTCGGATATACACCTGCGGCACCAGCACTCCGTCCAGCGGCCTCGTACTCAAGCTGCCAACCGTTTAGGCGCATCTGCAATCCCCATGCCATGCACGCCGTGGTTGGCTGCGTGATGGAGCCGCCCCGGCCCATTAATGTTGACCAGCTTGGCTCAAGGCAAAGGAACATGGTCCCAAGTCACCGTCGACCGTGCATCGCATTCTCTGCGCAAACCCCATCTACTGACACGTACGGGGCTTCTCAATGACGGTCAAGCTTCGTCGTACGGGCCGAGCTCCACTGTTGACTATAAGCCGGCCAAAAACAATTGCAGCCTTGCATGATTCACCGCATCCTCAGTGTCGCATCGTTTCAGATCTCATCTCATGTCGCGTCAAGACCCGGCGGCATCTGGGAGAAACGTAGGATGCAGGATTGGAGCCACAGCAAACACAGCTGTCACTGGAGGAACGCCGCATCCATGACTTCCGGCTTTGTCTACCTAGCTTATTGCCTTGCTAGGTGACCCGCATATACATCCTCGGGCCGCACAGACGAACGACCCATCCACCGGCCCAATGCATGTGGCCTGCAATGGGCACCACCAATCACTTTCCTTGACAAATCTGGATTAAAAGACGCACGCTGTTCCCTGCGACGCTATTCGCATTGCCACACACCGCCACGCTGCTAGCTGCAACTTTCTCCCCACTATCCGTCCCAAAACAACATCTTGTTGTGCCGCATCGGATATAAGCCCGCTGTGCGGAGAGCAAGAGCGGAGAAGCGCTGATGTGCTGTTGTCACCTGAGCCAGAAAGAGATGGTCCTGGCTTCCACATACAGGGTACGATACATCTTGCGACTTGACTATTGCGACGTGACTATTGCGACTTGACTATTGCGACTTGACTATTGCGACTTGACTATTGCGACTTGACTATTGCGACTTGACTATTGCGACTTGACTATTGCGACACCTTGATAGCCGCTACTGGATGGCGTCGACGCGTCAACATTGCCCGCATTCGCTACCCCAGAATTGCGATAGTGACTGTGGCGTAGCCCGTACATGGTAACGCCTGTCGTAAGCAGATTACGTGGGTCTACGACGCTCTCCAACCGTTTTTCGAGTTTGCTTTGCACAGGAAGATACTCGAGCCTCTTCTAGACGTTTCGTGACGCCATGTACGACTGAGGGATATGAGTACTATTGAACACATACAATTTGACGCGACCAAATGGCGGCTCGCGTCACAGGCCTGCGTTGGGTGGGCAAAGCCTCGTCGAACGCATGGTTCGTGCGCGCAGCAACTGATCTACTATGTATTACCCCGAGGCTTGCGAATAGTCCAAAGCTTGCTGCTATCGTGGAATTGCCGTATGCAACCTCATGTTCTTTGCCAAAGTACAGCCTGACATGCGCTGTCTATACGGTAGTTTGTCTAAAGAGCAGCTGCAGGGTCGCTATTGCCTTTGCAGCTACTATGATGTCACGACTAATGGGGCTTGCAGCGCCGCTGTAATCACAAATTCTATGCCATTGAACCCGATGCATCAACAAACCAGCCTCATAGACCATTGGACCGGAAAGTTCAGTCTACACACTCATCCCTGGTATGCATCCCAAAATGCAGAGCAACTACTTCGTCTGCACACTCGGTCAAGCTGCCGCCCTGAACACCAATCCGAAGCCATACCGGAACATTAGCGATTTTCTCAGTCAGCAATCCCAGCATCATCCGTTGCTCCCCGCCGTTGGCTTCCCCATACCGCGAACAGGCCAACAGAATTGGGATTATCGGGTTCTTACATTTGCAGACGTTGACCAAGGCACCAATGTCTTCGCCTCACGCCTGGCAAAGTCTCTTGATATTTCTGGAAAGGCAGAGACGGTCGCTTTGCTGTGCCACAGCTCTCCGGAATTTCTCTTCACCTGGTTAGGCCTAATCAGACTAGGATACTCTGTTCTTCTGATAGCACCACAATGTCAACCAGCTGCCATACTACATCTCTGTACATCGTGCGAAGTTTCTGATTTCTTCTACGATGCTGCTCATGCAGAACGAGCGCAAGAGACAAAGAATCTGGCAAAAGAGCAGGGAACTTCTGGGCTAGAAGTACGCCTGCTGCCTATGAGCGATACAGAAGACATCTCTGAAGTCATCCAGACTTCGCCAGGAACCAGCATCGAACCTCTTCACGTAGATGAAAGAGCAATCGCGTATCTCCATCATACATCTGGAACCTCTTCAGGTCTACCGAAGCCTATACCACAGTCTCATCGCGCCGCTATTGGCGTGCTTCCACATCTCCCTAGAATCCCCTCCTTAGCGTCGTTCACCACAACGCCACTTTATCATGGTGGCATCGCAGATCTCTTCCGATGCTGGACAAGCAATGCTATGATTTGGCTTTTCCCAAGCAAAGATATGCCCATACCAGCACGCAATATCTGTAGTTGCCTGGATGTGGCTAGATCATACGCGGCGACTGAGGGACTGCCTAAGGTCAGATATTTCTCGTCGGTACCGTATGTTCTCCAGATGATGGAGGCAGATGGAAAAGGTCTCCAAGCGCTTCAGGGCATGGACATCGTGGGTGTTGGAGGGGCTGCGTTGCCAACAGAAGTCGGCGATCGATTGGTGAAGAATCGAGTAAACCTCATCTCAAGACTTGGGAGTGCGGAGTGTGGCTTCATTCTATCGTCGTATCGAAATTTTGCCTCCGATAATGACTGGCAGTATCTTCGAAACTACAATCCACGAAATCTGATAGAGTTTGAGAGGCGTGAAGATGATCTAGCTGAACTGATCATCAAGCCGGGATGGCCGCACATGGTACTTCCTACGAAATGAAGAGACAGGATCCTTCACTGACTTTGGTATAGGCGAAACAGAATCGACCAGACGGATCGTTCGCCACTGCCGACTTATTCGCGGCACACCCAACGATTAAAGACGCATGGCTGTATCATTCGCGAGCAGACTCACAGCTCACACTAATAACAGGAAAGAAATTCGACCCAGCACCCTTGGAAGACGCTATCGCGACGTCGCCTTACCTCGACGATGTGTTGATATTCGGCAACAACCGACCTTTCCCAGGTGCTCTCCTTCTGCGATCACAGGAGGCGAGCAACATGTCAGACCAAGAGCTTCTTGAACGTATCAAGAGTCAAGTCGAGAAATTGAACAGCGAGAGTCAAGACCATGCTAGAATACCCTTTGACATGCTGATCCCCCTCTCCCATCAAGACGAGCCGCTCGAAAAGAGTAGCAAGGGGACGATCATCCGCAGAGCGGCAGAATCTCGATTCGAAGACATCATCAATTACGCATACAAATCTCAAGACTCCGAGTCATCACCTGAAGTCAGTGACAAAGATTTGCCTCAGCATCTAGTTAGCCTCATCCAAAGCATGACCGGACAGACGGCAGGATTAAACGAAGACATGGACTTGTTTTCCTACGGGGTGGACTCTATTGCGTGCATGCAGTTGAGAACGCGCTTGAGACGCTTGATACCCAACTTTGAAGGGCAGCTTCCAATGAGCGTCGTCGAGGACTGTGGTACTATACGAAGACTGGCAGATTACGTCTTGCGAAAGAGGCATGGTCAGATCGACTCCGATGGTGAAGACGAAGAGAAGTTGATGCTGGACTTGGTAGAGCAATACAGCTCGTTCAAGACGACACCGCAGCAAACTGCCACCACAGATGGGTCGATTGGAGATAAGAAAGGCAGCGAAGTAGTAGTACTTACAGGAGCCACCGGTGCTTTGGGAGCACACATTCTAGACCTGCTGCAAAAGACGTCCAATGTTGAAGCTGTCTATTGCCTTGTCAGAGGGGTAGATGAGCATGCAGCAAGGGAACGTGTGAGCAAAGCACTAGAGCAGCGTGGATTGGTTAACCTGTTGTCATCGGGGTCCCCCAATGGTAAGATCAGAATCGTGACGTCTCAACTAGGAGAAAAACGTCTGGGGCTTAGCGACGAAGTGTACGAGTTCCTTGCACAGAGAGTAACTTCAATCGTCCACGTTGCTTGGACTGTCAACTTCCGTCTCAAGTTGCGCAGTTTTGAGAAAGACAACATAGCCGGTGTGAGAAACTTGCTCGATCTCGCTCTGAAGTCACCACAAGCGCAGCCTCCGCGCTTCACATACTGTTCTTCCACTGCGGCCATCATGAACGGGTCTCTGGACGCATCGGGTGAGCTACCCGAGCGACTGTCACCGGAGCCCTCTTCTGCGTCTCCGCTGGGTTATTCGCGTTCGAAATGGGTTGCAGAGCATATCTGCCTTGAAGCGCATAATCGGACGAGTCTTCGCGGACGTATCGCAGTTGTCCGTGTGGGTCAGCTTGCTGGTGATTCGATGTCAGGGGTATGGAACACGAAGGAAGCCTGGCCTATGATGTTGAGTACTGCGAAGCTCATTAAATGTTTGCCCGATCTTGGAAGCGAGCCTCTAGACTGGCTACCTGTCAATATTGCTGCGAAAGCGTTCCTTGAGGCCACTGGTCCAATCAAAGGGGGAGAGGACATGCCAGTGTTCCATGTATTGAATCCGCATCAGGAACCCGACTGGAACCAGATGTTACAGTGGCTGCAAAAGAAGGAATGGTTCGAAATTGTTACGCCCAAGGAGTGGGTGGAGCGATTAGAGCAGGCTGGCGACTCGAATCATTCTGCGCTGAAGTTACTAGGATTGTGGAAAGAGTCGTACGGCAACGGTATGGAGTACAGTACTTCAAGACCGCAGTTCTCAACAGCGGAAACGAGCAAGTGCGTACCGGCGCTGAGGGACGTCAAGCCCCTGGACAAGGAGTACATTGAAAGAATCTGGTACTGGATCCAGCAGAACGTGCAATAAAAATAGTCAACGGGGGAAGGTAGGAGCAGCGGTATGCTCAGAGGGTGTCCAGTACCTGTCATAGCCGCGAAACAAGCCTGCGTCAACATCAGGCATCCAACATGTGTTAAACTAGAAAACTACATGGCGATTTCAACACGTCAATCGGACCGTTTTATTCCGTCTTCTGCTTCTTCGGATGTTACATTTGCAGCACGATATGCATGGTGTGACTGTGACATACTTGCTAAACGATCGAGTGCATAGCCGCGTGCAGGGTGCACGCAGATGCTGTGCGGCTGAAAAAAACGGGCTCAATGGATCATTGCTGTGACAGTGTGACTCGGCTACTCTGAGAGCGTCGCAGATTTGGTGAAGATACTCGCGACGATCCTCGGAGAGTAAACACCATAGACTGCTGGTAGAATCTCTCCGAAGCGGACACTTTTGCCAAAGCAGCATACGCCGATTCAGCAAGAGAAATACTGCAGCGTGGACTACACAAGGCAATGTAACTTTTCATCGTCTTTTCATTCCACGGTTCTACCAAGGCAGCCACCGTGACACATACCTGCAGCCGCGTTAGTGATGCGTCATCTTCTCCCGTCGCATTCTCGTAAGTAGTAAGCGAGCGGAGCGCAATTCTCCTCCGAGTCCCCGACCCTCATGCCAAGCCTTTACAAAAGCGAGTCAGATGAGCTTGGCGGCTTGCCTGGTTGACGAGGCTAGAACGGTATCCTGTAAGTGGATATCCACAATGGTGAAATTTAGCCGGTGAGGATCGATTTCAGGCAGCTACACACAATCTTGCACGCGTGTGGTGATGAGGGTTCACGGACGAAACAACATCGTGTATAGAAGGCACGATAAGATAAGATAACTCGAGATTTCACGGACGAAATTCCAGAGCAGTATCAGGCACGCAGGGGACATAATCGTTAGCAGAAACTCGGTGAGCTTGGAATATTGCATAAGCGCATGGAGACAAAGGAGGATGCGCCACGTTGTGACGGTAGTACACCCAAGAAACCTGCTCATAGTGAGAACATAATGGTGATGAACCGTATCGAAAGAAAAAAAAATCGGCGCTCACGGAGTCCGTCCCTTGTCTGGAACGCTTAATGCAAACGGACGCTAGCTAAGCCGCAAGATCGTCTGCAACGGCGCGAAGCTTCTTGACCGCAAGCACGTTTCTAGACTCAGCATCCAGGTCCTCGGTAATCGAAAGGCCCCTGCGATGCAACGATAGGTGCAAATCGCAAACTCATCGAGTCACCGGCGGAGAGATGGAATGGGTGTTTGGAAGCGTGGTGGTGGGGTTCAGGCAGCCAGTAAGAGGCAGATGACGGTGAGAAGGTACTCTACACGGACGAAACCTGGTGGCATGCTGCGATGAAAGCAAACAATGGAAGGTTCTGGGTTGGTCAGATGTTAGGCACGATACGATGTATGCGAGGAATGGACCCCCGAGACCCCGGTACTAAGCTTTGTTGTGCGCATGGGTGAGCGAGCATGAAACCCGGCAGCTAATTCTAGCGCCCACGCCGCAGACGGGGACGAAAGATTGTCATGTCTCCGTCAGGCAAGGGAAATATCGGTTGCACTCGATTCGCTTGAGCCCTGACTCCGGTCTCGTACCTACCTCCTTTTTGGCCCGCCAGAATAGTCGGGTAGTATATAGAGGCTACACTTTCCGCCCCTGCGAAGTATTTGCCTAGTTACTTATCCAAGGGTTCATCCGCTTCTCGCTCTTTCTTCGCAACCATCCGGTTGTTTGTTTCCTTGGCGCTTTGACGACTTGTCTCACGAACTACCCTACGTCATCGCGTATACATCAGAAGGTCTCTCTTCGCTTTCTCCATGAGCGACACAAATAACGAGCTCCGCCCCTCCAGCATGGCGGACTCGGAGAAAACCGCTGCGCCTAGCGTCCAGCCCACTGTTATCGACGAGAAGAAGGGCGCTGTTGAAACCGTTGCCCCTGCTGCTGGCGTTGCAGTAGATGCTGCTCGGCCCGTCACTGGCGAAAAGTCGTCGCGACCCAACTCAACAGCCGAGCCAACGTTGGAAGATGACGACGACTTTGAATACCCGACAAAATGGAAGCTCACTGCCATCACTCTGGCGCTTTGTCTGAGTGTGTTTTGCATGGCACTGGTAAGCTGCATCTTTCTGTAATCCCCGGTTCCACTGCCTTGGTAAGCCGTTGATCGACAGCGGCTACACCTGTCAAACCTAACTATGATCAATACTGATAGCACTACCTTTGTAGGATAACACAATTATCGCAACAGCTATTCCTCGTATCACAGATCAGTTCAAAGCGCTCAACGACGTGGGATGGTATGGGTCGTCATACCTCCTGACGACTTGCGCGACGCAACTGATCTACGGAAAGTTCTATACATACTACTCCATCAAATGGGTGTATCTCATCGCCCTCTTCATCTTCGAACTCGGCTCGCTTATCTGCGGTGTTGCGCCAAACTCAACAGCTCTCATTATTGGTCGCGCAGTCGCTGGTGTAGGAGCAGCCGGTATCTTTTCTGGAGCCATTCTGATCATCTCTGTTACCGTGCCGCTGCGCAGTCGTCCTACTTACATGGGACTCATTGGAGGCATGTATGGTATTGCGTCTGTCGCTGGTCCACTGTAAGTTGTGGAGAAGGATTCGGGATCTAAGATCGACGTGAACTAATAATTGCTTAGTATGGGCGGAGCCTTCACAGACCATTTGACTTGGCGCTGGTGCTGTAAGTGATTACTCATATATGAGGTACGGTCAAGCTTTGTGGATCCATCCGCTGACTTCCGGTGTGCAGTCTACATCAACCTTCCCTTCGGTGCCGCTACCGCTGCCTTCATCATCCCCTTCCTCAATGTCAAGCGTCGTGGCAAGAAGGTTGAGGCTACCTGGAAGCAACAGCTTCAGAAGTTCGATCTTCCCGGTACCGCGTGTTTCTTACCAGCTATCATCTGTTTGTTGCTTGCCCTTCAGTGGGGTGGTAGCAAGTATGCATGGAACAGTGGACGTATCATCGCGCTCCTGGTCCTCTTCGTTCTACTCATTGCCGGTTTCATCGCCATCCAGTGGTGGAAGCAGGAGGATGCTACCGTGCCCCCTCGCGTGTTCCTTAACCGCAACGTCTGGGGTAGTGCATGGTTCGGTGCCATGTTGGGTGCAGCATTCTTCCTCATCGTCTACTATCTTCCAATCTGGTTCCAGGCGATCAAGGGCGCATCGGCTACCAAGTCCGGTATCATGAACTTGCCTGCCATCCTAGGACTCGTCATCATCTCAATGCTTGCTGGTGGGCTTGTTACAGCTCTGGGCTACTACACCCCATTCATGCTGGTCTCGTCCATCTTGATGGCAATCGGTGCTGGTCTCTTGTCCACGTTGGAAGTTGACAGTGGCTCCTCCAAGTGGATCGGATACCAGTTCATCTTCGGTGCTGGAGTCGGTTTCGGTATGCAGCAGACTCTTGTCGCTGTTCAGACAGTGTTGCCGGCCGATGATATCGCTATCGGTACTGCGATTATGATGTTCACGCAGACCCTCGGCGGTGCTCTGTTCATCTCAGTTGGTCAGAACGTCTTCACCAACCAGCTCATCAAGAACCTCGCCAGCATCGTGCCTGATCTTGACGCCAGCATCGTTCTCAGAACCGGTGCGACTGAGCTCAAGCATGCTATCGATCCCGAATATCTGTCTGGTGTGCTTACAGCCTACAACCTGACTCTGACCCAGACGTTCTACGTCTCAGTTGCTTGCGGCACCGTGTCAATTGTCGGCGCGGCGTTCGTGCAGTGGAAGTCGATGAAGGGCAAGCAGATCACCATGGCTGCTGCGTAGCGTGGTGTGGCGTCTTATAAAAACTTTATTTCGACATGACGATTTCTTAGACGTCTTGGTCCATGGACTGTATGATACCCTTTTCGGCGGCAAGTTAGCACTCGCATCTGGAAGCGAGCGCGGCGTTCTTGTGTTTTGCATGGCAGTACCGTTGTACTGTCACATATACATTGTAATAGACGGACGATGAACTGATAGACATGGCAGCTTGCTTTTTGAATGAGCTGGCAGATGTGCTGGCAGGGACATGACGACTCTTCTCTCATGAAAAATGTAGATCTAATAGTAGACATACGACGTAAAAATCACATGATGCACGTTTTTTTGCTATACCCGCACGTTTTTTGGGCTGCCGGTGCATGTTGGGCCGGTCCCACCCGCCGTGACGTCAGGCGGTTCGCTGTGGTATGGCCAGGTTTGGATGTCACATGCGAGTCCCTAGCCCAGTCAAGACGGGTGGGAAGAGGAGACGAGTGGAGACGGCAGCTGACACGGGCTGTTAGATTGGATAGGTTGGATGTGGCTGGGTAAAGTGGTCAGCGTCTGGGCTGATGCTTAGCAAAGCTTGTTTTCGCAGGGTCAAGCCCGTCAAGCCTCTCCCACTGCCGATCAACATCCATCCTGCACTGCGCCCGCCAGCGATTGCGCGTTCGGCGCTTCTTTTTCCAGCCTTGCATATTCTGCTTACACTCTGCCACGCCATGCGCCAGCCGACCTTGGTGGTTTTGCAACACTTCACTTTTGACATCTACAACTGCTGCTAGCTGGCCTCTGTTGCGCGCCCTGGTTCCCTTGCGCCGAGACGCGATCATACTCCGCACAGCCAGCACGCCGCACAGTTCCCACACCGAGTCACCGTCGCGCATTGCGCATCGCAACCATGGCACAGGTGAAGGATGCGAAGCCTGAAGACGCGCTGAACGGACATGCGCCCGTCGTGCCGGAGAAGGCGGGCGGTTTCGATGGCGCGGACAACGAGCCCCCAAAGCCGCAGAAGACGGATACGTTCGGCAGCAAGAAGAAGGGCCCGGAAGGTGGCTTCGACGACACACCCATACCGCGCGCACCTCCCGGCTATACCGTCAAGTTTACGCTACATCGCGCCAACAACCTGCCGCTCGCCGACATCAATACCCTGAGCGCCGATCCCTTCATCGTCGCCCAGCTCTTCACCGGCCTGCCCACACGACACAAAGAAGACCCGCCGTTGACGTTGCGAACACCGACAGTGCGACAGAGCACCGATCCTGTATGGGACTGCGAGTGGGTAGTCGCCAACGTGCCCGCTTCGGGCTTCAACCTCAAATGCCGCATATACGACGAAGACCCTGCAGACCATGACGACCGCCTCGGCAACGTCCACGTTACCGTCCCTGCAGTAAACGAGAACTGGGGAGGCATACAAGACCAGACGTATCCCATCAAGAAGCGCATGGTGAGCAAGCGGGCCTATGCGCTGCGGGCAATGGCTGTTTGCTTCGGCAAGGCGCAACACATGAATGGCACGCTCAACGTCAGTGTACAAGTGCTGGGCAGGACCGAAGACGACAACGGCGGGCGTGCCTATACAATTGGTCCACAGTTCTGGATACGGCACTATTCTCCGCTTCTAGGACGCCTCTTGGGTCAGAAAGAGCCCAACAACGATGGCCAAGTGTCGCGCAGGAGCGGCAAGCAGAAGCCTGAGAAGTACAACTTCCAGTCAAACCAAATGCAAATGCGCGGTCCAGTCCCCGAAGCCATGTACCACCGCTACGTCGAGTTCAAGCCTTTTGTCAAGAGCATGTTCACCGCCAAGGGCGTGCGAGGATTCATCCTCTCAAAAGCACTACATCACCAGCACGCACGCGTGTACAACTTCGATCATGCCACCGAATTCAAAACCTTGCCCGCACCCTGCCAGGAATTCACACAAAAGTTCCTCGAACTAGTCCACTACGATCAAGGTGGGAGGATCTTCACTTACGTCTTGACCCTTGATGCACTCTTCAGATTCACAGAAACTGGCAAGGAATTCGGCATCGATATGTTAAGCAAACACACTATGCACAGCGATGTCGCGGCATACGTCGCATTCTCCGGCGAGTTTTTCATCAGAAGATTAAAGCACAAGGACCGCAAGCCGCCGGATGAAGGGGGAAACAATACATCCCATCCCCCAGGCGACGTCGACGGCGGACCTCCCAAAGAAGGTCCTCCGAAAGACCCAGCCTACTACGAACTTGTCATCGACAACGACTCAGGCACCTACCGCCCTAACGCCAAACTCCTTCCACAACTCAAAGAATTCATGTCTCAAAATCTTCCCGGTCTACACATACGTACACTCGACTGCCAAGGCGACGCCGAGAAGATGGAACACATGAAGAACGAACAGCGCGAGCGCAAGAAGAAGGAGGGCGACGCCGTGGTCTACACTCAGATCAGCAGGAGCAGCAGTATGAGTAGTAGTGATGTGGAGGAACTGGACCGTCTAGAGGAAGAAGGTGAAATGTCGCCCAGGCATCTAAGACACCAGGTCCAGAGAGAGGCTGGGGCCAGGGTCGATGCAATGAAGTACCATGCCAAGGACTTTCGCCCAAGCAATAACCATGAGGGCTGGAGGGGCGATGGTCATCCGGCCAAGGCGGACGATGAGGAGGTGGATAGGTTGAGACAGGAGCATGGGGATAAACCCGTGGGATCATCGCAGGAGGGCACAGCGTCTGGTGCCAAGAGCTAACCGGCTGCTTAATTACTTGACTGACGTCTTTTTCCTTTCATGCTTCTGTCATTGTCACGCCTTGTACATGGCTCTCCTTCTTATACTTCTTTCCCAGCATTCTACTTTTGGCTTTCGAGCACTTTGAGTCGGTGGATTGGTTGTATGTTTCGTTCGAGTAATCTACTTGCAGCTAAAGAGAGAAAGAGAGAGAGAGAGGGAGGAAACACTACATACACGGACACTCTCTCTACCCCGAGATACCCGCCATCCTATTTCTGTTAACTAGAAGAAGCTTAATCTCCTCATCATTATCGGATCATGTTTTCATTTGCGTCGACGTTGTTCCTCCAAATTATCAATATGCGCTATGGCGAGAGATTCCCTCTTACACCATCCTCCCGGTACATCACTACTTCTTACTCCAATCCGTAAGTCCAATCAATCAGCCTGTTGCTCGTATATCTCTCACACCCACTCCGGCGCTTCAAGTTCCGGCTTACTGACCCCAAACCTAACCGCCTTGGCATAATACTCCAACAACGCCTCCCCATCTTGCCTCCCCTTCTCAAACTCTTTCCTCAGCCTCTCCCTTCCCCGTCCAGATAACCAGACTTCCTCCCCTCCAACGCCCATTCGTTTTCGCATTCCGCGGCTGTAGTCGAGCGCGTGGCGTACTTCACGGCGATCCGTGGTTTTGGCTTTCAGCGCGATGTAGGCGGTGAGGTTGAGGAGCACGGCTAGATCGAGGGGAGTTGTAAGGGTTGTCGGGGTTGTGGATGCAGAAGGTGTTGTTGATGTGGACGAGGCATGTGACGATGAGGCGTATTGAGGAAGGTCGTGGCCGGTTTCACTTCGTAGTGCAAGGAAGACGGCGGTTGTCAGGGCGGCGTCCATGTAGGTTAGTGGGAATTTGTTTGTGGCTAGGTGTAACTCGAGGCTACTTTCTAATGCACTAGAAAGTGGGGTCCATACGTGGAGCGTTGATGCTTTCGAGTTGTTATTGCCATTGCTAGAGCGTTTGGTGGTAGATGGAGAGAGGGTTTTAAGTAACCAAAGATGAGCATTCGCCCATTGTTGCGCTGGATTCCAGTTGTTTTCTTCCAATGTGTTGCTCAGGCTCGTTTGCAATAGACCGGGGTATGCGAGGAAGTAATCGCGTATCGCACGATGGGCGTAACTTATTCTGAGGCTCTCAAAACTGGCATGTTGGTCGGATGGCGTGGTGTCAAAGATGGACAGTAACCCTTTACAGCGCTGTTGAGTCAAGGCTTGCATGTCTTCTACTCTCTTACTTATTTCGACCGCTGTCAAAGGCCGTACGTCAGCGGCTAGTGTGGCTGGTGTTTCGGCTGTATAGGCAAACGAGAACGGAAGGATAGCAGGACATGTGTTTTGGTGTGAGAGAAGGTTGTGCAGTTTGTTGATTACCTCAATGCCTTCTGGGGTGAGTTTGCTGAGTATGTGGGCGAGCAGGTCGTCGAGAATGTAGGGAAGGGCTTCCGCGCGGTCTTTCAAGATGAGAAAATCCGAGTCGGGTTCTAGGTTTTCGAGGAGGAATTTGGTTGCGAGTTGTGCCCACAAAAACACCCCTGAACTCTTTTCCGCAAGTATCCTGACAATAGTGCTTTCTTCTTCTCCGTCCATCTTTCCTCTCAATGCCTGCAGCTTAGTCTCCATGTTGAACGTCGTGGCCAGGTAGGTATGTATATCGTCTTTGGTATATTCTTCCAGCATCATTCTAGGCTTGTTCTCAAAAGCTGACTGGAAAGCTGGTGAGCTTCGAGCCGAGAGCAAGAATTTGACGTTGTCTCTTCGCGCAGTGCTGAACACAAGGTCCATCAACTCCTTCGGATAATCCTCCGTCTCATCCAGCCCGTCAATCATGAAGAAGAACTTCTTTTTCGCGTCACTGACCAAGCCCTCGAATGCCGCCTTTAGTTCTGGGAAATTAAATTCGTGCAGACCGCCAGCGTAGGAGAGGAAAGCATTCCAGCGATCCGAGAATAGGTTTTGCACAATGATCCCATCTTCTTCCAACGGCCCAAAGATCAAGTCTTGTAAGGTTTCGTAGATGATGGCTCGCAGTAGGCCGACAGAACTCTTCTGCGGTTCTGTTCCAGAGTTCCAGAGAAAGAATCCAGACGTGATGCCTGGTAGTTGTCCTGACCAGGCCTCAAGGTGTGGGAACAACCGTGGATTACGGAATAAATGCTTCATGAGAGTCGTCTTCCCGGAGCCCGGCTTCCCTAGGGTCAGTGTGAGATGGAGATTAGGGATTAAACGACGGAATCGCAAGAGGTAGAGACGCACCAGTGAGCCAATATATTTCTTCGCCTCTTGTATTGGTAAACCACTCCAGCAACCCGCCAACTTGTCTCGAGGCGTCTCCGAATACCCACTCAAAACCTCCATCGACTGGTGCAGGGATACTATTCATCCTCTCGTCCATCTCCTCAAACCATAGCCTATCGAAGATTGTCGCGCGAAAGTATGCTTCATTTTCCGCCTGAATCAATGCATCAACTTGCTTGGAAAATTCTTCGACATCCTTCTTCTTGTTGCTCTTCCAATCGTTGCTGTGGATCATGTCGAGCGTTTGATTCTGCCATTTTTCCCAGTGCTTCGTGTGCACGCCTTCCTCACCGCTAAATAAAGCAAGACCAGTTTCAATTGACTGGTCAAGATACTGGCGCATAGCCAACAACAGACTTGTCTCAATGTCGCGACGAAGAGCTCGATACCTCTTCTTCACACCTGTAAGGTGGGCCTTCTTCCACACCCCGTTCAACAGTGCTTCGCGAGCAGTAGGCCATCGCGGATCGCCAAACTTTCCTTTCTCTTGTGCAGCGATAACTGCGTCAATGAACGAAGCCGTCAGCTCTTTGACCAAATCGGCATGCTTCAGCAATTGCAACGCAGCCTCGCTAAGTTTCTTGGCTGCTTTTGCGCTTTTTGCAGATTTCTCGTCGTATAGCTCCTTGAGCTCAGAGTGGTCAATTAGGTCGGTTAGGCGATACAGATTGTGTATGATGTCCTGCAGGAAAGCTGCATTCTCCACGAACGGCGTTGTCGAAGGTGAGCTAGGCTGGAAGATGGGATGGTCCTTGCGAAGTGCGTTGATGCTGAAATCTATGGTCTGGACGAGTGCACTCGCAAGGCCGACCGCTGGTATGGGACGCAACATTTCGTAAAATTGCTTTTGCGTGGAAAATCAAAAGCCCGGTCGCGATGTTTGAGCCTCGTGCGCCTGTTGATATGCGAAGCGCATGTTCGCTGCGCCCCCTAAGGCGGGATGTGCACAGACCATGTTCCCAGAGGCGTAATTCAGGGCGTGTTTCGAAACTCAGCGCACGGGCGAGGACGATCTTTTCGATACTATGATCTTCCATCGCGGTCACCAACTTTTCCGCACAGAGGGCCTGAGTATGTCAGTATGTTTGGCTGTGTCATCTTCACTGCAATGGTGCATCGTCTAGGACATTCCAATGAGCTGCATGCTAAGCCACGTTGCTTCAGGGCGGCCTCAGCCTGATGCGTGTTACCATAGGTATGTAAAGATCCCACATTCATAGCCTCCGGGTAAGATAGGCTTGGACATTTTATTGATACTGGGAACAAGAGGCTTGATGGCTAAGCTGGGCGCTTAAAGCCTGGCTGAGGTCGGCTGGCTCCGCGTGGATTGAGGTTGGCCTTGTGCCTATTGCCCCGCACATTCATCGCCCTTGACAACGTACCACGATCTCCTTTAGGAAATCTCTTGGCTTCTCTTCTTTCTATTCGCTAGTAAGCGTATCGATATGTACCCCAGCGCTGCAGTCGGTATCGGTTCGCAGGGTATACAGGTCTGCGAGGGTACACTCAAGTATTACCACGATTGGAGCGGATATGCTGATGACATACAAGAAACTTACGCGTGTATCGAATCCCCTCGGAAAACACTCAAGTCCCTAGACGACATACTACTGAGTGGTTTTTCAAGCATTCTCGCAACATGGGCGCAAGAGCGCCTCGCGATATGCCAAGATGAGATTAAGCAGTCGGGAAAGAACTCAAAGAAGCTCGGCAAAGATGCCCCAGTTGAGTATGGACAAGAATCCCAAGCTGCTGTTCGCCGGCTCACATATCCTTTCAGTGTCGCTCTAGCTATATCAACGTCCTCGTAACGGCACGAATGTGATACTATACTTGCTCTCCATCCATATTTTCGGGAACAGTCTCCAGCAACTTATGTACAATTACCTTAACAGCATCGCATCCAGGCATCATTCTTGCGATCTCGGCTAAGATCCAGCAGGATCATTGCCGTTCTCCCAATCGCTGCTCCAATGGTTCCGCGGCTCTCAGCCAGAATGGAAAACACTTGCTTCTAACGACTTGAGTCGCAAGACGGTAATGTGAACAGAGAGATTCTGATGCTTATGTCCATGTTGCTAGAATGTAGCCGCAGACATCGTTCAGATTAGAGATTCTATGCGTGTGAAGGCGCGTATTTGGCATATGGACGCGGTACCGGCAACCGGCACCCGGCACGGTAACCTTGCGGTTGAGAAGATAGAGAACAGCTAAAGTGTCATCGAAAGAAACGAAGGATGCGAAAGTGTTCATCGTTCGTTCATTAAAGGCAAGTAGAACGGATGTCCCGTGCCGACTTGGTGTTGAGGGGGTTGCATATCCACATGTCTTTGCAGCGAATCAGCACTCGGAAGCAGCTACAGATCTCCACTATGGTACCAACATCATCAGTTTATCCAGCGGCGCAGCAGTTCGTGACAAACGGTATGATCATTTCTAAACCTCAGAATCGACGACCATGCAGGATTGTCCAATATATTGTGCAGGTCAGTGCATCATAGGTATGACATCAGGGCAGAAATTCGGGGAACGCGGTGCTGCGAAGATATTTATATAGAGCCTTCGAATCCCCCATTTCTTCTCAGCATCTTGAACAGCATTGCCTTTGCCTGTGGCAAACATTATCTTCCAGTCAGTTCAAAAAACTCGATTACACTTTCAATATGCTGGTCGAGCTGGCCGCTCTTTTAGCCGTCGTTGGTGTATCCAGTGTCCGGGCGCAATCGCTAGTCTATGAATGTGACAGATATACGCGGCCAAATTATGACGCTTGTAGGTAATCGCCTGGCGTTACAAGACCATCAGCTAACCACGCCTTAGGCGACAGAATCATGGCTGACATTGACTGGACAGAAGGCCCTTTCAGTGGTGGTACTCCAATCTCGGACGGCAGATGCCGTGTGTTTCTCGATGGCAAGAATACAGGACAGAACGCAAACTGCGCTATCAGTGTATGCAACACCCGCGGCGATGGGCAGGACGCGTATTTGAACGTTGTCAGTGGTCCGACATATTATCGCACAATAAAGGAGTCGTGTGAACCTAAAGATTCTGGCGGTCGTGCCCCAGGTCCTGCTGCAGTAGAGGCAGGTACAGACCAATACGTCCAAGCTGGCGCCACGCCAGAGAATTATGCTAGACGTTATACGATTCGCGGCACGATCCTTTCTGCTAAACCGGAACTAAGAGTCGAGTCGATGACGATAGAGGAGATGGAAGAGTTCTGGGAGAGGGCGAGGAATGACACCATACGTCTATTGGGACCCACCATCCAGAAGAGAGTGAGTATTCAATCGATCTTTGGCCTGCTGAAATAATTTACTGGCTTCTAGCTGACACGATCCTAAAACAGCAAGAAGAGGTATTTGTTCTCGGTCTTTCCAGGTCGGTTCCTCAACCCGGTGTCAGTAACCGGATGACCGGCATCTCCTCACCTGGTGTAGTCACCTCGTGGTCTACTACGGAAGGTTATTCCGCAAGCGTAGGTGTGAGTGCCGGAGTAAGCGTCGGCTTCTTTGAGATCTTCACTGCATCCGTTAACATCGACGTATCTATGGAATACAGTCAGGAGTACACCGAGTCGACTGAATTCGATCCAAGCAAGTCGTGCACTTCTACACAGGATGCTTTCATGATCTTCATACCGCACTTCGATCATTACCTTGTCATGGATGAGAACAGCCAGCAATACGATATCTGGATTCCGCTAGCAGGACAGGGTGAGTTCGCTGTCCAGTGTCTCGGCTAGACGAACTGGGGCATGATTATTAATCGTGGGGTGGTTATTGCTATTGAATTATATATGTGATCCGCACGCTGGGTTTATTGTCTTTCGCTCTTCTTGCACTTTCAACAATTGCAGAGATCTGTCGAATGGATTTGTAGCTAGGCTAGATAGAGGCGCCGTGGTCACTCAATTATGTTGCGAGCGCAGTGTTGAATCACGTCTCTACGTTGACTGTCCTCAAACACTGTCCCATAAACCATCTTAAAAACTCTTTAAGCCTATACTTGTGACTTTAGTTGGAGAAGCCGAAACATCTTGTCTTGTGGTTGACGCAGTAGACAAATGCTCGAAAGTGGAGGGAGCATAGATCATAGAGGGACTCAAATGCACTGCACAAGCTGTTCCGAAAACAAGACTTCTCATCACCAGCCTTAAGGAAGTAAACGTCGAAGATCTGGAGGCGTCTCGGTGTGGGGCTCAATCCACAATCGACAAGACAGGTGATAACAAAGATGTTGATACCAACGTGAGGAAAGCGCTGGTCACAGATGGAGAGTCAATGAGACTACCGAACGCAATAAAAGAGGAGATCTAAGGGGTATTACACAAGAGATCGGATGGGTTTTGAGCCTCGTTCGTTGTGAACGTCGTTCATTCGACGATACTCAGGTATCGACCTGAGCCGCAAGTTTCAGTGGGCTGCACTCCAGCTCCATGAGATTCGCAATCTGAAAATATTGCAACCAAAATAAACCTCACAAGCAATATACATAATGCTGTTCACCTTGGACGAAACATATGCGCTTATGTTAACATCGATCGACGACCCATACTTTGATGAAGCCCGGGCAGCTCTAGAATGGCTTGTGTTTAGTTTGAGGCCGCTTTCCGTTGCCGAGTTGGCAGATGCATGCAGTATCCGGGTTATAGATGTCCAGGAGCTCGTTGCCGAGGAAAGCGGATACGAAGCCCTTTGTTGGTCTCTCCAGTGTCTTATCTTCATTTGTTATTAGGAAGACCAGCCCGACTACAATCCAGACTGCAACTCAAAGTCAAGTCAAGAAATCAACAAAGTAGGCGGATTTCACGACACCGCCCTTAAAGCTGCAGCGTCTCTTAACAATGAAAAGGTTGTAGAGATTCTCATTGCATCTGGTGCTGAAGTAAACTTTAAAAGGGGGGTTTTCCGGTACAGCTTTGCAAGCTGCTGCCTATCAAGGACACGATACTATAGTCGATATGCTCATCGCAAATGGTGCCGACGTAGGATGCTATGAGGATGATGGTGTTCCTTAATCACTCTTTTCTGCCGCGAGTTACAGCTACAGTAGTATCGTATCGAAGCTGCTTAAAGCGGATGTGGATGAGCGCACGTTTATTTTCAAAGGTAAATATGGTACCGCTCTAGACCAAGCTGCACATAAGGGCTATGGGCAAATTGTGGAAGAACTTCTCCAAGCCGGCGCGGACCGTGGACATGCGATAGAAATAGCGACACATGAAGGTCACGAGGGTGTTGTAAGAATTCTTATCAAGCACGGAGCAGTGTGCCAGCCAGCGGAAGAAGTGTGAAAGTCGTTTGTTGTACAACTCAGTTGTGGCATTTACTCGAATGTTTCCCTATCGGAACTGTACTTCCTGTCATGCCTGTTCTATGTTCCAACGATAAGAAAGATTCACACTGAACAAAATCAATCCCCTAAAACTGCACCTGCAGCTTTGGGTTTGTCCGGATCCGCTCACCGTAATACCTGAACAGAATCGGCACCGGAATGAAAGCTACCGATATGAAACCAAGCAATGAGTTACCCCAGCCCAAACCCAAAGCATCGTACATGTTCAATCCGGCAAGCGGTAAGAATGCACCGAAAATAGAGCGGAGAACAGTGTTTGCGGCGATAGCGGACGCAGCGTGGATAGTAAACGCATCGACGAGATAAGTTTGAATAGTCATCATAGCCGTCAGGTTACCCAGACCGATGAACGACGTGAAGATGATGGGAACAATCCAATGAACCTTGTAATAAGTCGTCCATCCGTACACGAAGACGCCAACAGGTAGTCCAATGGCGCCAGGCATAGTAAGGATGAGAGGGAGGCGATGTTCAGGTTTGACGTTGCCTTTGGCTTGTTGCTTAACGATGATTTTGTCGGATACAATACCAAGGGCGATCATACCGATGAACATGCCCACGCCGACACCAATGTAAGATAATCCAACAGCGCCGGAGGAGAAGCGGTATTGACCCTCGAAGACGAACGTCACGGTTGTGAAGAAGAGGTATAAGATACCGTAGTTCACAGCGACGTAGAGAGACATAAGACCAACGATGGGAGAGAGGAAGAGCATCTTCATCGGACGAACAATAGCACGAATGAAGATCTCTCTTGGCGGCAGATCCTGCGCGAGTTTCGAGCGGAGGTTCATGTTTCCGGTTTCCTTTTGTAGGGCCTTTGTTTTGCGAGCGAGGAGAGTGGGATGGAAACTTTCGCGGCCAACGAAGAAGAGCAGGACGCCAAAGATTCCACCGAAGATGGCTAGGATCCAGAATACCCAGCGCCAGGATTGATGCTCGACAAGGAAACCTCCGCATACGGGACCAATTACGGGGCCGAGGAGTGGGCCTATAGAGGTGGAGATATGAAGTCAGTGTATGTCTCATATGTATTTTGTATAGTCACAACTTACCTACGGCCCAGATGGCCATTGCACCTGCTCTTTGTTGCGGAGGGAACATGTCTGCGATTGTGCCGCCACCGATGGTCAAGGGCGCAGCTCCAGCACAGCCAGCGAAGAAACGGAAGGCAACTAGCATGCCCATTGAATTCGATACTGCGCAGCAAATGTTGAAGACTACGAAGAGGACGTTGCATATGTTGTACAAATGCATGCGTCCGTATAGTTCGGACATGGGCGCTATTATCAGAGGCCCGATGGCGAATCCCAAGATGTAAACGGAGACAACAAACGATGCCATGATGTTGGAGGTTTCGTTGAAAGCACGGAGTACTTGTGGTACGCCGGGTGCGAAGAAGGAGGACGCGAGTGGTGTAATGAGAGTGCATGCACCGAGAGCTGCGATGATACCCCATTTCTTTCCAGCCGGCCAGTTCTGGGGGTTTTCGGGGTCATCTGGTCCATCCCAGTCGACTATGTTGGGGTCTCGTTCTTGTTCTGGTGGTATGTCGCCGGATAATGTTCGCTCGTCTGTGTGCGTTGAATGTGCGTGACTATCGACTCCCTTCTCTGGGTCTTGTGAGAATGATTCCTCCGGAACCTTTCTATCTTCGTCATGGCCTTGTTCGTATGCTTCCTTGATAGATCCGTTTGGCAGATCTTGCGCATCCCGCGCCGGGTTTGGTAATGAGGCTGGCGTTGCCATTGTGATGGTTGAATGCGGACTGAGCTGGAGGAGCCATCATTAGTATATAAGCAGACAGTAAGAGCAGCTTCGCCACTGCCTTTTCGTTTACATGAGCGAAGCAAGCTCGTTGGCTGGTCGTCCTTGAAGTCCAGAAAGAGAAGCAAGTCTTACCGAGCGGACGGTATCGAAACTGAGACAGTTGCACGGAAACAACCGCAGGGCCGGAATACACTTCGAACGATGTGTAGATCGGCAGTTCACACTAGGGGCACAGAGCGTGTTTTGGTAAACACGGAAAATAGCTTGAAAGGAAGGAAAGAAGTGGTGCCTGGTGTGAAGAGATCAACAACAAAGAGAGGCGTACGTCGTCGCAATCACGGAGATCCAAACCTACGACCCTCCGCACACAAAAGGGCGACATGCCTAGACTTAGCAAACAAGGGCTCCGAAGCGACATGGCGGTGCTACCACCGTATGCAGCGTATTTACCCTATCTCCACACCTTACTAGGCGTTATGTCCGCCTGTAGGCTAAACTGTCTAGGGTCACGGGCAACGGATCTACGGCATTGTAGGATTCTGCACCAATGAGACGGCAGTCTTCGTGCAGCGTAGGGAGGCTTCGTGAAAGCTTGTTGGCTGACATGACAAGCTTGACAGCGCCCGCCATCAAATGGCGCCGTGTCCCGAGGTTCTTGGCAGCAAGTTCGCACGGAGGGTCGGACGGTCATCTATCTTAAGTTCGACAAGGCGTGAAGCCATGTTGCTTTCTCGGTAGAGACTGCGGGTTTCATTGTCGAGATGCATTCCATTGACCTGGTTTCGGGCGCATCGTACTGTGCCAGTCGCGTGTTGTGGTGCTTCCATTTTCGTCCGACGTTTGCGCCATGGACCTGGTATGAAGCGGCGTCCGACAGCTAGCTCGCAGCAACATCGCTGTTGACTCGTCAATACTTATTCAGTACAAGTAGACAAAACCTCTTGGTTTGGTACCCAGCGTTAGAAGTCGAGGTATGCTCCGGTAAACTTGGTGAGCAGTATGCCGCGTTAGGAAGGCGACACAACACGCGTCTGACATCGATATTGTCGTTGAACGCCCTGCAGCTTGACTGTTCGCCATAAAGAGCGTGTCTTGCATGTTCTGATAGCAATAATACGTGAGGATAGGGTGCGATGTCCAGCGAATGGTCCACTAATCCCCGCAAAGAGGGTCGTCCCACTAATGTCCGCAGTCTGTGTAATCTGTCGACTTCTGTACCCACTATAGAGATCAGCGCCATGAGAACTATCGGTAAAAGCTGTTTTGGCTCGCGCTGATAGGTTCCTATCAGATAGGAACAATGTCTTCGTGAGCAGGTTGGCATGTCGTGGCGGACACGTTTTGCAAGGCAAATCTTCTGATGCTGACGCCGACGCCGACGCTATACTACACGTAGTAGCCTTGCACAATCAACTCGGACCGAACAGCACTCATGAGATGGGAATAAGAATGTCTGTCATTTCATCGTAGGCAACCACTACGGTAGCACCCTAGTTCGTTGCCCATGGCATTTCATTCATTCATCTATCCAAGCCAACCACATCAATCGTGTGTATGTATATGCGCCCAACGCCATGCTTTGCCATGTATATTACAGAAAGAAGAGATTCGTTCGCT